CGCTGCGGGTCCGCCCCCGCCCCCGCTCCGCCCTAGGTCACCCCCACTCTCTCCTTCTCCTTTAAATAACTTTAACAATGTGCACCCGTATTTCAGAAGGGGGTGCAGAGTGCATCTCTCACTTGGAGAGTCTCTGCAAACAACGGCCGGACTTTACCCCTCTTTTGGATTAGCAGGCGAGGGAGGTGGCTAGGAAGCAGGAGGACTGATTTTCAAAGAACAAAATTTGGCCAACGCTCTCAGTTATCGTTTCACAGACTTTTAGTTATAAAAAAAAATGTGATAAATCAAGAACGACACCCAATGTATAATAAAATACGCCTTTGTATCAGACAGCTGTCCCGGAATTTGTGTAGGATTCGAAATTTAAATTGGCCACAGTTGTGTAGAACGTTCTTTACTCCTTCAGAATTTGGGGTTGTAGTCACAGAAACCTTGAAACCAGCTTGTAGGAAACAGTCTTAAAGTGTTGGCGGCGGGAATGTCACCAGGTGTTCGACTCCTGGGGTCCCTGGACCTGGGTTCAGCAACCTGGGTCCTTGCGTTCTGGCTAAGAAAGAATTCAGAGACCAGACTCAAGACGCAAACTATACGATAGCCTTTATTTATAAAATCACAGAGGTGGAAGAAGTAATTCATAGAAGAAATACGCTTCAGTTATAGAGGCAAAGAAAGGGCCCCTGGAGCTTAGAAGGAAGGAAGGTAAAGGTAATGAGCCTGGCAGCTGGGGGATGGTGAGGTGGAGGGAGAAGGTGGAGGCAATGGCCTGCTCGAGGGAAGGAGAGGCAGTGGGTCCCCTGTCCTGTGGGTTTTAAGGGTAGAGCTTTTAGGGGAGGTCCCAGGGGAAGATCTCAATAGACTGGTCAACAACTTCCCAGGTGTCTCCTTTCGGGGTCAGGGTCTCCACTGATTGATTGCTGGGCGCCAGGGCAGGGAGTCATTATTCATTGTAGTTGGTCCTGAGGTCGGTGTGGCATTGGTTGTCTGGTTTTGCTGCTTTTCTGAGCTCGGAGCTGAAATGCAACTGAGGCCTAGATGTTATCTCAAGGGAAGAAAGGTCAGGGGGTCTAAACCACATGACCAGTGATATGCTGGGGGGCAATGGTCACCCTGGGAACGAGGTGCCACCATAGAATTGTCCTTTGCTAGGTACCCCCGGCTATCCCCCCCACCCCCCTTCCCCGGACCTCTGTGCCTGCCCCATCCTCCTTGCTCTGCTCATGTGTGTCTAAACACCTACCACAAAAGAACTTAAACTCATTCATTCTTTGCCTCATGGATAGCCTGTGGTTTTCAGCCTATACATGTTCTTGCAGCTGCCACTTCTCACACCTGTTTTGCAGCATGTCTAGCCTAGAGTGTTAACGTAAGAAACATTTAAATAATTTTTTTGAGTTTATTTGAGCATAGTACTGGAAGTCCTAGCCACGACAATCAGGCCAGAAGAAGAAATAAAAGGCATTCATGTTGGAAAGGAAGCAGTAAAACTTATTATTTGCAGATGACATGATACTGTATATAGAAAACCCTAAAGATTCCATAAAAAAACCTACTAGAATTTCTATTAGAAACAATAAACCAACACAGTCAAGTGGCAGGATACAAAATTAAGGTGCAAAAATCATTGTTTTTCCTGTATACTAACAACAAAACTTCAGAAAAGAAATTAAAGAAAATTACTTTTGCAATTATAACCAAAAGAATAAAATACCTAGGAATAAACTTAACAACAAACATGAAAGACCTATATACTGAAAATTACAAAGCATTATTAAAAGATATTGAAAAAGATACAACAAAATGGGAAAATATCCTGTGTTCATGGATTGTAGGAATCAACATAGTTAAACTA